GAGGAACCAAAATCAAAGCACAGAGAAGGCACGGCCAAAATAATATAATTCAGACAAGCTCAGGACAGGATCGTGTTCTTAGCATTTCTTTTACTTAAAATGAGCCATCTGATGTTAGCTAGCTGAGAGTCCACCCTATCATTTCATTGTCACTATGTAATTTCACACTGGTGTTTAGGCATGAGCAGTGAAAATGGGGATTAGTTATTGTAGAGATACCTTTTTACATCAATATAGAGTTTTTTTATTTCATTTGAAGTGTTTTGTGAGTCCTTTCACAATAAAAATGGCATTTGTTTTCCCCAACAACAGTGTTTTTCAGACTACTGCTTATTGGATGCAGATGACATCATTCACAACATGAGCAAGAGGAAAGGAGATATTTGCTAAAGAAGAGTAAGTTGAAACTTTAAACTTGATGAGAACGATAAAACCTTAGGAATTAGAGATAATAATGCAGACTGTATTTTATGTGTGGGTTTGTTTTGAGCGGTCATGATGGTCTGCTGTTGTCTGACTTGCTGGCAGTTTTGCTCTTGACTTCTTGGTGACCTGTGACTACAAAAGTTGTAGGAAATAAAGTAAGACAAGACACAGGAGATACAACATAAAATAGAAAATAACAACATCAAAACCCAAAACCATGACACCATGTCAATAATATGGAGTCTTAAAACACATTGTGATTGGTTTATGGAATAGACGATAACTGACTGATGAACTCAGCATGTGAGCTCTATTTTCTTTAAGTTAATCACAAGTGCTTTCACTTTGGCTGACTTATAAAAAAGAAAATCAGAAAGAAAGAAAAGCATAATTGCAGAGAATTAAGAACACCAGTAAATATAAATATGTCTCGGTAACACTTTATTTGAAGGTGCTTGTAATAAGCAGTAATTAACAGTTAATAAGCAGCAATTAAAAAATAATCAAACACTTTATAAAGATGTTTATAACACAAATAAGTGTTAACTAAAGCACAATTAACTCATTTATTATTGTATTATTATTATGCAGCTATAAAATAAGGCGAGTAGTTTAAGCTAACGTTAGCATGCAGCTATAAAATAAGTCGAGTAGTTTAAGCTAACGTTAGCATGCAGCTATAAAACAAGACATGTCGTTTAAGCTAACTTTAGCATGCAGCTATAAAATAAGGCATGTAGTTTAAAATAAGGCATGTAGTTTAAGCTAACGTTAGCATGCAGCTATAAAACAAGACATGTCGTTTAAGCTAACTTTAGCATGCAGCTATAAAATAAGGCATGTAGTTTAAAATAAGGCATGTCGTGTAAGCTAACTTTAGCATGCAGCTATAAAATAAGGCATGTCGTTTAAGCTAACATTAGCATGAAGCTATAAAATAAGGCATGTAGTTTAAGCTAACATAAGCATGCAGATATAAAATAAGGCATGTTGATTAAGCTAATATTAGCATGCAGCTATAAAATAAGGCAGGTAGTTTAAAATAAGGTATGTAGTTTAAAATGAGGCATGTAGTTTAAGCTAACATTAGCATGCAGCTATAAAATAAGGCATGTAGTTTAAAATAAGGTATGTAGTTTAAAATAAGGCATGTAGTTTAAGCTAACATTAGCATGCAGCTATAAAATAAGGCATGTAGTTTAAAAGAAGGCATGTACTTTAAGCTAACATTAGCATGCAGATATAAAATAAGGCATGTAGTTTAAAATAAGGTATGTAGTTTAAAATGAGGCATGTAGTTTAAGCTAATATTAGCATGCAGCTATAAAATAAGTCATGTAGTTTAAAATAAGGTATGTAGTTTAAAATAAGGCATGTAGTTTAAGCTAACATTAGCATGCAGCTATAAAATAAGGCATGTAGTTTAAAATAAGGTATGTAGTTTAAGCTAACGTTAGCATGCAGCTATAAAATAAGGCATGTTGTTTAAGCTAACATTAGCATGCAGCTATAAAATAAGGCAGGTAGTTTAAGCTAACATTAGCATGCAGCTATAAAATAAGGCATGTAGTTTAAAATAAGGTATGTAGTTTAAGCTAACGTTAGCATGCAGCTATAAAATAAGGCATGTTGTTTAAGCTAACATTAGCATGCAGCTATAAAATAAGGCAGGTAGTTTAAGCTAACTTTAGCATGCAGCTATAAAATAAGGCAGGTAGTTTAAGCTAACGTTAGCATGCAGCTATAAAATAAGGCATGTTGTTTAAGCTAACATTAGCATGCAGCTATAAAATAAGGCAGGTAGTTTAAGCTAACTTTAGCATGCAGCTATAAAATAAGGCATGTAGTTTAATCTAACTTTAGCATGCAGCCATAAAATAAGACATGTAGTTTAAGGTAACGTTAGCATGCAGCCATAAAATAAGGCATGTAGTTTAAGCTAACTTTAGCATGCAGCTATAAAATAAGGCATGTAGTTTAATCTAACTTTAGCATGCAGCCATAAAATAAGACATGTAGTTTAAGCTAACATTAGCATGCAGCTATAAAATAAGGCATGCAGTTTAAAATAAGGGATGTAGTTTAAGCTAACTTTAGCATGCAACTATAAAATAAAAAACAATAAAAATAATAATAGTAAAAGACAACCAGCCGAACAGCAGCAATAAACAGCTGACATAGTAAGACAACTAAGAGAACAATGAAAACAAGAAACAGTCACACACTCTAAATAAGCAACACAGCACAGCCACGAGAGCTGGAATAATAATTAATTTAAATAAGTAACTGAAAGAAAAGCATCAGGAATAATTCTACCAGGGACAACCTAAGTTTGTTTGTGTCTGTGTGCGTGTGGGTGAATGTGTCTGTATGTGTGTGTGTGTACATGTGTGTGCGCATAAGCCTGTTAAAGAATGTAGTTGTTAGTGAGAGTGGGACGCCACGACTGTAACAGGCAGGCAAGAACCCCAGTAGCCAATAGGGGTGGGAGAAAGAAAAAGAATAAATCAAATCAAAAAAAAAACAATAAAAAAACAAAGACTCCCAGATGCACTGCGATGCAAACGCAGAAGACCCCGACCCAAATGCCAGTTGACAACGTAATGCCGACGGAACGCAAAAAGCGTAATTGTGATTGGTTTATGGAATAGACGATAACTGACTGATGAACTCAGCATCCGGCTGTGAGCTCTATTTTCTTTAAGTTAATCACAAGTGCTTTCACTTTGGCTGACTTAAAGAAAATCAGAAAGAAAGAAAAGCATAATTGCAGAGAATTAAGAACACCAGTAAATATAAATATGTCTCGGTAACACTTTATTTGAAGGTGCTTGTAATAAGCAGTAATTAACAGTT